TCATAAACATTGGCCGCTGTTTATCTCTTGCATCCTTGCTGTGGCTCTTCCTTGCTGTGGCCCTTCCTTAGCCTCCTCCTTGCTATGGCCCCTCCTTGCTGTGGCCTCCTCCTTGCTGTGGCCTCCTCCTTGCTGTGGCCTCCTCATTGCTGTGGGCAGCGCTTGCTGCTGTGGCCCCTCACTTATGGCCCCTCCTTGCTGTGGCCCTTCATCAGCCTCCTCCTTGCTATGGCCCCACCTTGCTGTGGCCTCCTCCTTGCTGTGGCCTCCTCCTTGCTGTAGCCCTTCCTTGCTGTAGCCCTCACTTGCTGTGGCTCTTCCTTGCTGTGGCCCTTCCTTAGCCTCCTCCTTGCTGTGGCCTCCTCCTTTGCTGTGGCCTCCTTGCTGTGGCCTCCTCCTTGCTGTGGCCTCCTCCTTGCTGTGGCCCTTCCTTGCTGTGGCCCCTCCTTGCTGTGGCTCTTCCTTTGCTGCATGGCCCTTCAGCAGCCTCCTCCTTGCTATGACCCCTCCTTGCTGTGGCATCCTCCTAGCCCTTGCCCCTCCTTGCTGTGGCTCTTCTTTGCTGTGGCCCTTCCTTAGCCTCTTCCTTGCTATGGCCCCTCCTTGCTGTGGCCCTTCCTTGTTGTGGCCCCCTCCACTGTGGCCTACATTACCGCCACAGATACCGATGATGGAGTGGGAGAAGGAGATCATCCAGGTCTGAGTTATTGAATATTTTATCACTCACACGTGTTTGTTTGTTTGTGTGTTTGTTGTGTAGAAAACCTAGAAGACAGACGATGCTTAACAATCCAACGATAAAAGAACATAAACAAAGGAAGATTGTTTGTTTGCTTAGGGTTTTTAGTTTGTTTGGTTTGTTTGTTTGTTTTGGTTTGTTTGTTTTTAAATTTGTTTGTTTTGTTTGTTTTGTTCCTATGTGTGTCCGTTCGTATGTATGTTCATCTAAGGTCCGTGCGTCTACGTGTCCGTCCGTCCGGTCCGTACCTATATGAATCTCTTACTGTGAGAGGTCCGTGTACATCCATGTGTCTCTTAGTGTGTCAGTCCGTATGTCTGTGTGTGTGTGTGTGTGTGTGTGTGTGTGTGTGTGTGTGTGTGTCCGTCAGTCAATATTTACTCTACCGTCAAATTACTCTGCCATTATCATACACTTTTATCGTATGTGTTTGTGGTGACGAAATAATAATAATAATAATAATAATAATAATAATAATAATAATAATAATAATAATAATAATAATAATAATAATAATAACAGTAAAAATAACACTAATTAATAATGATAATAACAACAATAACATTAACAAATATAACAATAACAATCACAATAATAACAATAATAATAACAAAATACAAATGATGGCAGACGTAATTTTCACAGTCCTGACATAAAGCAATTAAGGTTAGACAGAGGAGGACCTAGTGAATCGTGTTGTCACTTAATACCACTGTAAAAATGTTCCCTCAACAGAACAATGGCTGCCAACTTCCACCACCACTACCACCACCGCCTCGCCATCTCCTCGCCTCGCCTCGCCATCTCGCGCTCCAATTAATTTTAAAAAGGAAGCCACAAGGAGATGGAATTTTATGAATTTATTCCTCCCCCGCTCCCCCACCCCCACAAAAAAACTTACATGATAGATGAATGTAAAAGTTTTAAGAGTTTGTAAAAATAATATATATATATAATAAGATAAAACGACAACATGGTGAGCCGTAAATCGTCATAATCTGATGTCGTTTTAAGAAGAGTGATATATCGTTACGTTTGTTTACATTAAAAGACAATTTATGTATGAAATTTATGAAAGTATTTTGGATTTTTTTTTTGTGGGTTGTAACTATGGTATGAATGTTTGATAGATTATGTAGTTTTCTTTAATATTTTTATATAGAAATTGTTTTAAAGTAACTGTTATGTTTATTATCGTAAAGGAAATTAAAACGTCAGTGTGATGTTATGGAGAAATTTTTATATTGGATTTGTATTAGAATTAATGATGATACAGTCAAGTACAGTCCCCTTCACTAGTGCGTTTACAGGGGCTCGTCATATAGCCTACGTACAGTCCCCTTCACTAGTGCGTTTACAGGGGCTCGTCATATAGCCTATGTACAGTCCCCTTCACTATTTTGAGGCTCATCATACCAAACCTCGTGCAGTCCCCTTCACGGTCGCGCTTACAGGGGCTCGTCATATAGCCTGCGATACGGTCCCTTCACTATGGCGTGCGCTTCCGAGGGCTCGTCATATAGCCTACGTACAGTCCACCACTGAATGCATTTACAGAAACAAATCTGCCCTGTATATTACAGTCCTCTTCACTAGATTGCATTTACGAAGTTTCGTCATATAGCCCACGTACAGTCCCTTCACTGGTGCGCTTACAGGGCTCGTCACTTATAGCCTACGTACGGTCCTTCACTCGTGCGTTTACAGGGGCTCGTCATATAGCCTAGGTATAGTCCCCTTCACTAGTGCGTTTACAGGGGCTCGTCATATAGCCTAGGTACAGTCCCCTTCACTAGTGCGTTTACAGTGGCTCGTCATATAGCCTAGGTACAGTCCCCTTCACTAGTGCGTTTACAGGGGCTCGTCATATAACCAAGTTACAGTCCCCTTCACTAGTGCGTTTACAGAGGCTCGTCATATAGCCTAGGTACAGTCCCCTTCACTAGTGCGTTTACAGAGGCTCGTCATATAGCCTAGGTACAGTCCTTCACTGGTGCGCTTACAGGGGGGCTCGTCATGCCATACCGTACGAGTCCACCTTCACTAGTGCGCTTACAGGGGCTCGTCACCATAGCCTCATGCGAGTCCCCTTCACTAGTGCATTTACAGGGGCTTGTCATATAACCTATGTACAGTTCCCTTCACTAGTGCATTTACAGGGGCTCGTCATATAGCCTACGTACAGTCCCCTTCACTAGTGCGCTTACAGGGGCTCGTCATATAGCCTACGTCCAGTCCCCTTCACTAGTGCATTTACAGGGGCTCGTCATATAACCTACGTACAGTCCCCTTCACTAGTGCGTTTACAGGGACTTGTCATATAAACATTCCACAAATCATTTCATTGAGATATGTTTTAATATCGTTTCACCTTGATTCCATAGTATGTTTACTATGGCTTGTTTCCTTCTGTCGAATGTAAACAAACTCAAGGCTGCCACACTGCACAAAACCTGACGACCCCCTGTAAACGCACTAATGAAAGGGACTGCACATGGCCCGCGTTACCCTGGTGGAGGGATAGGAGAGATAGTGCATGACCAACTCCTAGGCCATCCGCACCTCCCTACCAAATTTCAACTATCTTAAAAAAATGTGGAATTGCATAAGGAAACACACACACACACACACACTCACACACACACACACACACACACACACACACACACACACACAGTGATGTACTCGAGACCATAGAGATCGAGACCCTACATCACTAATTTAGTTTACGAGACCAACAATCAAGGTAAAGAACTGGTGCCTCGCTACCTGTTGATTTCGACGAACAAAAACAAAACAAAGAGAGAGAGAGAGAGAGAGAATACCTGAACTCTTTGATATACGAGAGTAGTTTCTCTAAACGTTGTCTTAAAGAAAAAAAAGTATATCTCGGCTACACGCATGTGGATCTATGAGGCTTTTGTTATGTAGACAATCACTTGGCTCTACACGTCGTCATCAACACAATCACTTGGCTCTACACATCATCAAAAACACAATCACTTGGTTCTACACGCCATCAACAACAATTACTTGGCTCTACACATCATCAACAACAATCACTTGGCTCTACACGTCATCATCAACAACAATCACTTGGCTCTACACGTCATCAACAACACAATCACTTGGCTCTACACGTCATCAAAAACACAATCACTTGGCTCTACACGTCATCATCAACAACAATCACTTGGCCTCCGTCGCGAACCATAACAATTCGTCTGGTTGGTTCCTGCTGCTGGGCTCAATGTGCTCCAGTAATTGGTTCTGGGGCTCCACTAAATGGTACTTCAATTTACCAATAGGTCTTGAGCGTCAACAATTATTACCTCGTCTGTTGTCTGGCGTCTTCGTTATCTTCATCGTCGTCTTCTTCATCGTCTTCATCTTCGTCTTCTTCATCGTCATCATCGTCTCTTCATCGTCGTCTTCATCTTCATTTAATTCTTTCTTTCGGGTTTATTTCATTGCTCTTGAAGAGTTATCTCAGTTATTGACGTTCTTGCTTCTAGGAGTTGCCATTTGGTCCTGGTAATTGGCCATCTGGTTCTGAGAGTTGGCCATCTGATCCTCGAGTTGGCCATCTAATCCTGAAATATGAAACAATGTCATTTGCAAAACCAAGAACACCTGGATATTTTTGTATTTAATCATAGACGATATCCCCGTATCCTTTATATGTCACTTGACCACTTAACAGTACAGTTGGGAGCCACATTTACCACTTAAGATACCCACTTAGAATAATACCCAACCATTGTGTACTATATCACCACGTTAAGACTCAAAGCATTTTAAACAAAAGACTCCTCTCCTTAAAAGTCTCTACGGGTTGTGAGGTCTTGAGTCTTAAAGAAGAGCCTCAGTCGTCCTTAAGAAGAACCTCAGTCGTCCAATTGTTCTCTTGTGTTGGCTGAAGACCGTAAAAACCAAGATTAAGAATGTTAGGGAGAAAGACGCTGCTTCAAAGTTGGTCGGTTCTCTCCAAGTGTAAGTTTTAAGGCTTTTCTGGACACCCTTCTAGACGGTAGTTTTGTTAGGTTTAATGTGGTCTCTCTCTCTCTCTCTCTCTCTCTCTCTCTCTCTCTCTCTCTCTCTCTCTCTAGGGTATGTGGGGGGAGGGAAGTCTTCCAAGTTGTATGTTGGGTATAAGGGAGGTGTTGCAGGGTATAATGGTCAGCATGCTCGCCTCGCAAGCGAGTGGACCCGGGTTCGATCCCCAGGCAGGGTGAAACTTTAGGCAAATTTCTTTACGCCATTTGCCTCTGTCTACCCAGGAGTAATTGGGGACCTGGATGTTAATCGATTTGCGGATCGTGATCTGGGGTAATGGTAAGCCAGTGCAGTTGGCGAGTTGTCCGGTCTTCTCGGAATATTCCTTGACGCCATGCAGCTCGTTAACTCAGGGTGTGGTTGTTGTGTTGGCGTCAGCTTCTACACCTTAAACAAATTCACGCCTAGGTGGCCCTTGGGCCGGCCATCCTCGTTACACGAGGGGCAACCATTGTTATTATATTATTATTTCAAGGTGTTTGTTGAGATAGAGGAAAGCTGTATGTCTCTTTAATCGTTGATGACTAATGTATGCCCTAACACTATGCTTAGTAATGCATCATAACATCTGGCTAGTGGACATTATATATAGTTAAGTTCAAAGGTTCAGTGTAAGGCTTCAGGGTATCTAGTTCAATGTATTCTTACGTCTTCACTTATTATCTATAATTTCTACTTTTATTGTTTATTTATTCATTCATTCATTCATTCATTCATTCATTTGTTAATTTAAATTTATTTTTTAGGTTCTTTCGTGTGGACGGGGGTTAAGTGATATTTATTTCCTTTCAGTACATTTATTCTGTTTGTTTTGTTGCTTCAAACACCTGAAAAATCTGGCTAGTGACCACAATTTAATTCTGGGTCCAGTTTGAGGCAATCAGGTGTCGGCTCCCAG